GTTTGGGAGTCAGATTAACCATCTGTTTGACGGAAATAATCCTAATTGTGCCATATGCAATATTGTGGGGTCCTTCTTGTTCTCCGAGCTTGACGGTTTTCTGGTAGATGTTTCATTAGCAAACTAGGCAACATCTTCAGGTGCTAGCGATACGTTAATAATAATAATAATAATAATAATAATAATAATAATAATAATAATAATAATAATAATAATAATAATAATAATAATAATAATAATAATAATAGTAAAGTTGGAAGGGACCTTGGAGGTCATCTAGTCCAACCCCCTGCTCAGGCAGGAAACCCTATACCAGGGGTAGGCCACCTTGGCTCTTTTATGACTCATGGACTCCAACTCCCAGAATTCCTGAGCCAGCTATGCTGGCTGAGGAATTCTGGGAGTTAAAGTCCATGAGTCATAAAAAAGCCAAGGTGGCCTACCCCTGCCCTATCCCAATTCGGACAAATGGCTGTCCAGTCTCTTTTTAAAAACTTCCAGTGTTGGAGCATTCACTGCTTCTGGAGGCAGGTTGTTCCACTGGTTAATCGTTCTCACTGTCAGGAAGTTTCTCCTTAATTCCAGGTTGCTTCTCTCCTTGATTAGTTTCCATCCGTTGCTTCTTGTTCTGCCTTCAGGCACCTTGGAGAATAGCTTGACTCCCTCTTCTTTGGGGCAGCCCCTGAGATACTGGAACACTGCTATCGTGTCCCCCCTCGTCCTTCTCTTCATTAAACTAGACATACACAATTCCAGCAACCGTTCCTTGTATGTTTTAGCCTCCGGTCCCCTGATCCTCTTTGTTGCTCTTCTCTGCACTTTCTAGAGTCTCAGCATCTTTTTTACATCGTGGTGACCAAACCTGGATGCCGTATTCCAAGTGTGGCCTTACCAAGGCGTTGTAAAGTGGTATTAACACTTCACGTGATCTTGATTCTATCCCTCTTAACAGGAAGTTAAGACTTCCTGCCTTAGTCCTGAAAGCCAGTTGGGTGACTTTGGGCCGATCACCAGGAGACGGTGAGTTCTAGTCCCTCTTAGACTGGAAAGCCAGAGGGGTGACTTTGACCCAGTGCCTGAGCCCAACCAACCTCACAGGGTTGTCGTGAGGGGGGGAAAGAGGAGGAGAAAGGCCGCCTTATTTGTAAAAATAATAAAGGAGGGAGAGAAAGAAATAAAATTAAATGCGGTCTCTGCACCCAACACCTGGCTGATAGCAGTCCTCTGGGGCTGTTTTTTCCACCCATTTTGGATAGGCATTAAAGCATCTGGCATGTTATGGTTTAGACTCCTCAATTTGTGGCCTGTTGGGTTTTTTCAATTCGCCCTGAAGGAAGCCAGAGGTTAATAGCTCAGACCAGCTTCTGAATGGAAGCAGAAAAAAAAACCCATCTCCAACTCCTCCTGGATTGGAAATGACCATACAGAAAAAAAACCGGGACTTCCTCAAAGTTAGAAAAGTGGAAACCATTTCAGTTCACACAATTATAAATGGGTGTGCCCCTCCTCCTCCTCTCCCCTCGCTGAATTTATTCCTGTGAGTGGAAATTTCCTGTCGGTTATCTGATCGTCGTTTTACAGAGATTCCAAGCACTGCAGGAAATCTCTCTTCCTTTAATAAATACCCAGAGAGGTGCATTATGAAAGCAATGAATTCCTTGCAAGAAGAGAACGCCATTTCAATTAAAAAATAACAACCCTGCATTCATTTAATCGTGGAACTCTTTGGTGATAAATCAGGTATTGGTGCCTCCATATATTTCTTTTACTTAGAATTAGGGATTTTGAGCCTGTCTTCTAAACTGCTGCTAAATACTGTATGCAGCGTCCCTCTTGTTCTGTATAATTAACCAGTGGAACAACCTGCCTCCAGAAGTTGTGGATGCTCCAACACTGGAGGTTTTTAAGAAGAGATTGGACAGCCATTTGTCTGAAATGGCGTAGGGTTTCCTGCCTGAGCAGGGGGTTGGACTAGATGACCTCCAAGGTCCCTTCCAACTCTGTTACTCTATTCTATTCTATTCTATTCTGTTCTATTTCTACTCTACTCTACTCTACTCTATTCTATTCGTTATTCTATTCTATTCTATTCTATTCTATTCTATTCTATTCTTTATTCTATTCTATTCTATTCTTTATTCTATTCTATTCTATATTCTATATTTTGTTCTATTCTATTCTGTTCTGTTCTATATTCTCTATTTTATTCTATTCTATTCAGTTGCACACATTAAAATGATAGATAGACAGACAGACAGAGAGAGAGAGAGAGAGAGAGAGAGAGAGAGAGAGAGAGAGAGAACCTTTATTGTCATTTTTTACTGTTGGCGCAATGGCATACATTAAAAATGATAGATAGATAGATAGATAGATAGATAGATAGATAGATAGATAGATAGATAGATAGATAGATAGATAGATAGATAGATAGATAGATGATAGTTAGATGGGATAGTGATGATAGATAGATGGATGGAGAGAGAGAGAGAGAGAGAGAGAGAGAGAGAGAGAGAGAGAGAGAGAGAGAGAGAGAGAGAGNTTTTTTTTTTTTTTTTTTTTAGAAAAAAAGCCCTGCCTATAAGTAACATATAAGCATTAATCACTGTCCATCTTGAATACATAGCGAGAAGGAGGAAGCTTTTTTGGGGGGGGGAACATAGACAGTTTTTAAAGGAAAAAAACAGGGAAACAGTATTTAATTTGCTCTGGAAAGGCTACGGGAACCTGTGGTGGCACCGAATTGATCTGGTGTTTTGGATTTGTTCCAATGAATGTTCGTTGAATTCTCCAGGTTTTAGCCACCGTCTATTGGCTGGGGAAAACGGCAAACAACAGCACTTACTTCAATGGGCCAGCATTGAACCTGAAAGAATTTGAAGGATTGTTAACCCAGATGAGAAAGGTATTTCAATTTGCTCTCTCACCTGCCGGTAGTCCTCTTCTTACGACCAAATTCCCAGCTAGAGCGTTGTTAAGTGTGTTTTGCCCCATTGTACAGCCTTTCCTGCTACAGTTCTTAAGTGAATCTCTGGAGTTCTTAAACAAGAACCCGGTTGTTAAGTGAAGCTGACTTCTGAAGCTGATTTTGCTTATCAGAAATTCACAAAAGCGGATCACATGACGCTGGGACACTGCAACCGTCATAAGTACAAGTCAGTTGCCAAGCGTTTGAATTTTGATCACGTGACCCTGGGGATGCTGCAACGGTCCTAAGCGTGAAAAACGGTCCTAAAATCACTTTTTTTCAGCCCCGTTGCAACGTCAAACGGTCATTAAACAAGCCCTTGTAAGTTAAGAACTACTTGCATTTCTTTGTTTTTTTACAATTTGTTGCCTTCTTACTTCTTTTAAGCTCCTATTCTTCACAGACCTGTTTAAATCCCCAACAGACAGGTCATCTTTTTATTCCACAAGTGTGAAGGCTGACCCACAACGGGGGTGGTGTGTGTGTGTGTGTGTGTGGGAGGGGAAATGGATAGGTGAAAAAAAAAGATTGGGTCGAGATGGAAATGTAAACTGTTTTAAACAAAGAGGTTTCAGTAAATATTTGCAGCTGAATCTTGAGATTTTATTGGGCCCTGTTTCCACTGGAAAACCGCTTCTGATTTTCAGACTTGAAATAGGGAAAAAAATAAAATTAAACTTAGTTTTGAAGATTAAATATTTGTGTCGTTATGGAAAGGGCTTGTAACAACTAAATGCCGAAGTGGAGGCTGTAAATATTGTTAGCGTTTTACTTAGCTAGATTTGGAAGACGATGCTTTTTGATCCCGTTTTTTTTTCCTGCGCGTCTCTTCCCACCCTTTTCTAATCTTTATTTTCAATTGTATTTTATGTTGTAATAAACCTCAGCAAAAGTGAATTTTGAAATAAAAGAGTATTTTTGGTAAGATGTTCGTTTTCACTGTTGCTATTCTCCCCAACATTGAAAGATGGAGGTTCTTCCACTTTCTAAATCCAATTTTATTTGTTTTAGCAGTCTTACATAATTATCTTCTTTTACTGTTACACATCTTGCTGTTAAATAAATTCCCAAGTATTTAACTTTTTTAACTATTTGAAGATTTGTGGGTTTTTTTGTTAGTTGATTCTTTTGTTTTTCTGTTAAGTTCTTGGTCAGCACTTTAGTCTTTTCTCTATTTATTGTCAGGCCTGCCACTTCTCCAATTTTTTCTATTTTTTCCAGAAGGTTAGTGCTTGTTTCTTATATCTTCCAGTATAAAAACCAAGTCATCTGCAAATGCTTGTAGTTTATATTTTTCATCTTTTATCTCCAGTCCTTTAATTTCTGTATCTTGTCTAATGTTTCTATTCAATACTTCCAATGTTAATATAAATAGTAATGGAGATAATGGACACCCCTGTCTTGTGCCCTTTTTAATGCTGAAGTTTTCTGCAAAAGTGAATTTTAAAGAGAACAAATATTAGGGCCAGCCGACCTCTTTAATTTGTTTTTAAGAACTCTTTTTGATTGCATGCAAAACTAGAAAAGTTACAGCTTGTACCGTAGTAACTTTATTGTGTTTGCCTTTTAGTAAAGTGGATAATGGTGGATAATGTTTTGATCAACAGGAAAAAAATATATATGTTTGTTTCCATCGCTGTGTGTCTCGGGTAAAATTTGGACCGAACCCCAGAATTGGATTCAGCCTTTCAAGCTTATATATCACTCTCTCCAACTACAGAAAAAAACAGGGCAAAATAATAAGAATAATAACAACAACAATACATTTCTAATGCAATATTTTCTTAGTCATTGTGATCCACAATATGTTGGTGATCTATGTGGGAAGTGATGGAGGGATGTGATTGTCTATTAAGACAATTTGTACCGCACATGTGTGTGTTTGATGTGGCAGGGATAATTGTTGTGTTATAGAATGCCAAGCCGGAAATGATCAAAACATTTTTAATAATAAAGAAATGTTGGCTTCTAATTGCGGGCAGCCATTGCTTGGACATCTGTTAATACAATATATTATAAGAAAAAGTAGATTTATTTGGTACATAATCTCATCAAATGTACTTCCTTCCATGACATAACCTTTTTTTAAAAAATAATATCAGCCACTCCATAGCTCTTATCTGGACAGCCCTTACAGTAAGATAGACTCATATTAATCATTTTATGACTAAAGCGCACGTTTTTGGTTACACTTCTTATTTGCGGCATTTTAAAGATGGATTTTCTCCAATTGTATAGATGTTGGACATCCCCTCGCTTGGCAGGCACTGTTCTGCCCTTTTGAATTATTAGCATGCCAGACTAAACTAAAATGAAATGAACATCTATTCAGAGGACAGATTAACAAAGGTTGCAATTTTGGAACCAAAGTTCCCCCCCCCCTAACAATTTGCTCATTCATTCATTCAATTAACCAATCATGCATTCAGTCCTTTTAAAAAAAAATCACGGAGATGCTTCATCTGTTTTAAAAGAGGAAGAGACAGAGAACCACAAAGCTTTTTTTTTTAAATATTTCCAGGGATGTTTTCATGAATGAAATATAGTCTGAGTGTCACTGGATAGCTTCTC